TCACGATTGTCTGGCGAAGCACCTTCAAAGGCTAGGCGTATACGCTCAGCTAACGTGTCCCCCTATGTGACCTACAGGCGGAAATGGAGAAGACCCTCCTAGTTCGATATCCAGCCCTAAAAGACAAATACAGAAATTCAGAGATACTGGAAAGTCAGAAGTCAACAAACGAACTACCGTTAACTGTCCTAAAGCTTAAATAGGGTGTGCGATAGACTTACCTCCATGTGGTGCACCCTGGGCAACGTATACTCATACGGCAAAAAGTCTATTAACTGGCAGTTAACTTCTGACCTCAAACTACCATCACCCCATTGTATATCATATTCGATCCCTTCCACAGTAATCATCTAGCCTTTTCCCTGCCATTGTGTCTGTCTGTCTCTTCTACATCTGTGAATCACTCTTTTGCTCCCCCTCTCGAATTTTTCCCACTTTATTGTTCTTAACTTCTGTGAAGTCCGAAGTCAGCTAAATGGCTAATGATAACTATCAAAATGCCTGCCATTTAAAATAATAATAATAATAATGTTTCCAGCCATTAATAAATACACTTTCATTATTTTACTGCCCGAGTTTCCAACTTGCAGGAAAGTAGGGAGCAAATGTTATCACCTTCCAGTAGTTCTTATGAAAATTTAGCATTTTATTAGCTGTTATTTCGACAAGAGTTAAGCCTTTAAACTGACTATCTGCATCTCTGACGTAAATTAACCTCGACTTCTCGCGCCACCTCCCCGCCCCCCTCCCCACCCACCAACCCGAGTTGTCACACTTGCAGGTTGATCACTATAGGGACTGTATATGTGAACAATTAACTGCCTGGTTAAAAACAAAGAAAAAAATTGTAAAAGTTAGTGCCAGCTAGTACAAATCAATGTTAAATGGAAGCTTAAAAAGGAAATAATTTGATGTGACTTCGAAGTAGGGCGTAATCGAATACACGTTTTGTCTATCTCAGGCCTTTAACGCTGAATTATTTTTTTTTTGAAAAATGCACCCAACCCCACTTACACGTGTGTCTCACAGCAGACTGATGCCTCCGACGTGGTGGTAACAGGGGGAAGAGCAAAAGCGTATTGAATGTGTCTCAAACGGCAATGATGCCTTTCATTACGAGTCTAGTACCAATGTAGTACGGTTCTAAGGGCGTTAAAGGGTTAAGCATACACTATGCAGAGTATGCCATTGAGGTTAAAATACTTTCAGATGGTGGGGTGTGCGATAGACTTGCCTCCACGTGGTGCACCCTGGGCAACGTATACTCATACGGCAAAAATGTCTATTAACTGGCAGTTGACTTCTCACCTCAAACTACCATCACCCCACTGTATGTCATATTCTACCACTTTCACAGTACTCACCTAACCTTTTTTCTACTTCTGTGTCTGTCTCTTTAAAATCTTTGAAACACTCTCCTGCTCCCCCTTTCGAATTTTGTTTACTTTGATGTTCCCCCTCCCCTCTCTGTGAAGCCTGAAGTCAACTAAAGAGCCAATGATTACTATCAATACGCCTGCCATTGGGTATAAATAAACTTTCAGATGGTAGGCACAATAGGGTGTAAAGTACAGACGATTAGGAAATTAATTTCCCAACTCATGGAGGGTTCTCTTTTAACAATAGAGGAGGAAGAGAGGAAGCGTTATAGTAGTCTCTCTGTTAGAAATTCAACTTCTGCCAACTCCTTAACTAGCCGGTGTAGATAGGTCTTTGGCTCGCGAGATGTTTATTTGCGGGAATTAAACCCGTGATATCCAACTCCATTGATACACTTGTTAGTCGGTGTCCTATTATCACGAATAGATATTCTGATAGTATAACTTCAATTATCAGAGTACTCTAATAGGGAAATGAAATGTTTTTTTTTACTTCTAGAATTCTTATCAATTTCGGAAACATGAGTGGCTTGGATAGCAAGATATTCATACACATTGAGCCTGACTCTACGATAGACTCACTTCGAGATGCATCCATTCGAGTTCAAAACCGATTTCTGCCACTTGTTGACGAATTTCAATACAGTTATTTCCTAATATTACTAAAATATAAACAATCTTAGAGGATTTCTCTCCCAATACTAGGAGTGATATAATATTTGTCATAGCCTAATAAACCTACTTATCTCTAATCGCAAACAAATCCACTTCAGAAAACAGATCAAGTTAGGCTAAATATCCATTCATCCAACTAATGGTCTTCCTAAGACTAGAAGGCAACAATAGCCTGTTTATTAGACATTTGGAAATGAATGAGAGGGAAAACGGGGAAAAGGAACTAGGGGAGTGTCAATACTGAGGGAGGTCGGGGGGCGGGGGGGGGGGGTAATAATCCCGTTCGCGTTCGACAGGCGAATTCAGTTGGATTTGGAGGCACTGATAGAATTTGTCCTCTGTGATACAGTGTACGACGATAGGAAGATGGGCAACCAATCAGATATTTTTCCAAACTGACAATTAGGCATGAATACAAGAGCAGAGATGTGTTTTTTTGATTGATTGTAAATTTCATTGTAGGTCATGCATGGATAGCCCCAACGCATAAATCGTTTTCTCTCTCTCTCTCTCTCTTTTTTAATATTTACTACAAGTAAAATACCCTTGAATATTGGTACTGGCCTTCAAAGCTGAGTTCCAAAAGATTATTCCAAGCTATAAATATCTGTGGCAGAAAAGCACCAGGACTACGTTGTGATTTCCGGTTTCATATTTAAAACTGTTAAGGCGTATATATTATTTCAATATATATTCTATTTGTTAAGCCACTAATGATACAATTTAAGATGGAATTTGCCCACGATGATGTCTTCTGGATATGTGAGACATTTTTCACCCTGGAGAACAGTTACCAAGCCAATTGAGAATAATTGCATTGACGCCAAGAGTGAATAATTGAATTCTAAAAAGGTTTAATATGGAGTTGTCATTCCTGAAATGCAGAGGAAATGCTGGGACTTTGGAAGGCAATTTACATACCACTGCGCGTAATATTTTCCTGGTAAATGAGATGTGAATTTCCGTTGCATGTTGAATTCTACAGTGGCTTTATAGTAAAATATATTTTAGGGTTTTGGGAAACCAGAGGAAACCATTCATCTGAGGTTGAGTGGGTTCAAACGATGGGTGATTGCGTCCCTCCCAACTTCATTTCAGTAGAGAGTTTGGTAAAATTTTCAGCCTTTAAATCAACTAATGAAATCAGTAAGCAAATGCCCTAATGAAAAGAACTCATCTCATGACTCAATTGTGACATTTGAAAAATAATAATGTTCAATTACCTGACTCGCAGATCGATAATCAATTTAGGAGAACAAAAGTGCAAACCAATTGGAATGAACTTAAAAAATTCAAAACTCCACTACCTAAAATTATTTTTATCGTTTAAAGGGAAATAAAATGGAAGTCATATGGCGCAACTGCTTTCAGCTGGTTAAAAAAATATCAGATGCGTTGAACCACTTCGGAGACAGAGTTGCAAACTAAAGCAAAAGTAACTAACTGAAACGTTGCATTGTAAAAAGAGAGAAAAAATAGCAGGCAAATATGCACAAAAATGTGCTCGAAGGTTATTTGTGGCTGCCACGTCAGCTTCATACTTTCTTATTTTGCATTTTAAGGGGAGATTAATTCTATGAACTTATTCCTCTCTTGGTCAGACATTTAAATCTTCGAAGCCCCGAATGAGCCAATAGATTTTCAACCTTTCAGATATTATATTCAATACGTGGGATGCACGGCAGACTTACCTCCACCCTGGGCAACGTATACTCATACGACAAAAAAGTCTATAAACTGGCAGTTGACTTCTGACTTTAAACTTCCATGACTAGACTATATGTCAGATTGGACCACTTCAACAGAACTCACCTTACCCTTTTTCTATACCTTTGTGTCTATCTCTTTTTCTTACATCTGTGAAACGCTCTTCTGATCCCTCTCTCAAAATTTTGTGACTTTGATGTTCCTTCTCCTCTCTGTGAAGCCCGAAGTCAACTAAAGGGCTAATGATAACTATCATAAACTCGGCCATTTAATATAAATAACTAGTTAATAAGTTAGGTAATCTAGGGAGGAGACACCATTTCAGGTGTCGTAAAGCTTAGTTTTCGAGGTGAAATAGCAAATTTCGAAAAAATTCAAACTATCCATTATTTTGAGAGCGTTAGCTCATCTTCTATCAGCGCCAACAGATCCATTTTAAACATCAATCATTTTGAGAAAATCCCAAAAATCTAAACAGTTGTGAAAGACAAAATTCCACTCAATTCACACACGACTACTTCTTTAACGATCATGATGTTGATACAGAGGAGCAATTGAGAGAGAGTGTGTGCGTTTGAAGGCAAAAGCAACAATGATGGTTAGAGAAATAAGGAAAGAAAAAAAGAAAAAAACAAATGAAAACATTGAAAAATTATGCCTGAAATAAGGTTGAGGGGAGAGGGCTCGATAGATAGGTAGATAGATAGAAAGTGATAGAGTACCTATAGCCAAGAAAACTAGTAGATGAAGAATGGGATTTATAATATATATACAACAATTATAAGTTCGCCAGACGTCAGGTCAATTCTTCACTTGCTGCTTCACTTCTTCGTAATATTGACAACGGAATTTTGTGGTCTAGAGGGCAGCAATGGAAAGACAGCGCGCGCACACACACACACTCTGGCACAAGAGATGCAGTAAGAAGAGATTAGAGAGGAAGCAGAACATGCGAAGAATGGATGAGTGCGAGCATGCAGTAGTGAACGACGTATTTCACACTTTTTACTCGTAGTAAATGCATGAAACGCACTGTGGGAGAGATTTGATTTCAAGTTATAATTCGTAGTGGTATTCCACACATATTTGAGAGACAGTGAGAGAGAGAGAGAGAGTGAATGAGAGAGAGAGCAAAGGAAAGAAAAGAGAGAATGCAAAGAGCAACGATGATGGGTAGACGGAGTGTCCTTTCCAAAAAGAATCAGCGAGAGTGCAATGTCCAAATAGTGTACTGTGCTTTTAGAAGTCAGCAAAGTCCTTGGCACACTTCTCTGTGGCCGATATACGGAGAGGTTCCTCTTCGTATTCGTCAAAGTTGTCCGCGTCACCGGGACCTTTGCATTTCGGCACAAACGGTGCTTCGGTCTAAAATCAATTAAACTTAGAGTCACTTCCTATTCTATCTGAATCCCGAAAAAATAAACACGCAGCACTCTTATAACATTGAAATAAAAACAATGTAATCAGGAGGTGGTGTTATCGTTTAATCATAAGACTGAAATTGGACAGAAATATCCCAAACACAAGTGGCGATAGGGGAAATTTCATAATGGCCATTAATTTACTGACAAGTAACTTCACATCACTGGAACTAATATAAGTCAACTGAAAGCAGATAAGGCCACCATTTCTTGACTAGCACTTCTTTTACACCCTGAACACCTAAACTCCAAATCCACTCGTCTTTCTACCTAAACCGGCAAAAATTAACTCTAATTTGGAATGATTCAGGTTTTCCTGATTAATTGACATTTCACAAGAAGTCAATGAAAGAGGAATGACACATGACCTAGTAACAGGTGGCAAATGTTTATTTGGCACCATTTACAGGGGGTATACTATCATATCGTCACATCATGATGGGTCTTGGCATGACATGATCAATTGCCACTTTTCCTATGAACGGTTGCTCGATCAATTATGGTCTGCAAATTGAAAGTAGCGGTTGGTGCAGTCCCATCCAACCAGTCATAACAAAATTCCCGGTCAAAATAATGAGTAATTTAAGTTACTCAACGCCTGGAAGTTGCACCGATTTTCCCTTTTCGGTGAAACATCGATGAGAGCTTTACAAAGTGAAGACGTAATCACACTAAGACTGTTGTTATTTATTAGTAAATGCAAAATATTCCTATTTTTAGGCACCTCATAAGAATGGTCTGAACGCCGACGAGTGCAATAAATTGCACATCTTCTACTTTGAGTAGTCCATAAACGCAGAAATAGAGTGCGAATACTAAATTAAAACTAAGCAAGATCGTTCACTTGCTGTTTCAATTCTTCGCAGTGATCTAGAGGGAATCAATGGAAAGATAGCGCGCGCACACACACGCACACACTCTGGCCCAAGAGACACAGTTAGATGTTTAGAGAGGAAGTAATGAACGCATTTCACATTTTTTACTCCTATTAAATGCTCGAAACAAACTAGCTATAATTCCGAACTTGGTGCCTTTCAGACAATGTCAATCTTGTATTCCAAAATGGTAACTCTTTAGTTCAGAGACAATGAGATGAATCATATAAATATACGAGGATTAGAGAAATGAATTCTGATTTCATGCACAGGTTCCAACTAAGATAAGCCTACCGTCTTGAAAAGGGTATAAACACAGGAAGAAAAATTTATAATTTCACATAAATGTGAGATTTTGCTAAGTCGAACGCATTTTATTAGCTTGGGAGCGTCCGTGTACTAAATCGCCTCCACATTTTTCACTTAAATGTGCATTCAGATTTAGGCACTATCGCAATGTAGTACAAATATTCCTAGAGTAATTAATGGTGAAATGAATCAATATTTAATGGATTAAAGGATAAATTTGTAAAATTTTTACTATTGATTTACTTATGATTGCAATCAGTCAGTTACAAATGAAACTGTATTTTCAACATTTAGATTACACGATCAAGTGAAACTTAACAACATAAACTTACGTCAAAATTGTTTACCTCTTCATGGCATATCAGTATTATGAGAAAAATAGCCTAACTCCTGTACCCTTCCTTTGTCATGATAGACACTCACCTAATTTATGGACAGAGGGGAAGGTTCGCATTCCTCCAATTTACACATAAGCACAACAATGTCAAATGCAATCTCCCTAATTCCATTCCTCCGATGGGCAATCTGTCTATTCTCTTTGGGGCGTGGGGGGGGGGGGGGGGGGGGATGGCTAAAATGAATATGACAAGGCCAAATTTTTGTTCTACTAGATTTCAATAGATTTCCTTTAAGCGGTATTTTGAAAAAGACCACTAACTTAGTTGTTCCCTTTGTTCGGCCAGTATATTTTACCTCGAATTTAGCTTCGCGAATACTAGAGTGGGCAAAATCAGATCTGTTATGTAAAAAAATTCTGTATCCTGCTTAATTCGTATGAAATTATCTTCATAGCATGAATTCTGAAGAGAGAATTACTTGAAGTGGTAAAATTAACTAAACTATTTAATCATAAAGAATTTTCTCAGTGGAAAGTGAATTGACCTCGATAGCAGTACCATTCAGGTCCACCTCTTGACTACATTGCCTAAATAATTTAACTTTAATTTCACAGATCACAGTTACTTTTTGAGAGGATCATTACGCTAATACGGCTGAAGCGAAGAATCCCTGCACATTCAAACGTTCTGGAACGTGCAACCGTGCTAACGATCGGGCTAAAGGGGGGGGGGAGGGGGGTCAAGTGAGGTTACAAGTGCAGGGATCTTGCGACCAATCAATAATTATTAGTCATTACAGTGCTGTCATACCCTAACAGTATTTCATGTTTAAGCTCCATATCATCATATAGTCAGCCCAAAACGCAGCGTATTTAAACGTGCTCCACACCATACGCCGTTTTCCTCCATATCATCGAGGTAGCAAGGCTTATCTCGGGAACCATTCCAAACTAAGAGATCTTACCATGTAGATTACTGAGCATAAATCAATCCTTCTTAGTGTAGCAATCCCCTGCACTTTCCAGGATAAAAGAATCTAAATTCGCTGGTCTCACTGTGCGTCATGATAATAAAGAGAGAATGAGCCTATTTTGCCATTTTCTTCGAATAAAATATCAATAAATTAATGAGACATGCAAGTTAATATCGTAAATGACGTAGGCGAAAGTACGTAAGCATTTTGAGGCAAGTGTTCTGAATCATAAATCAAATAAATGCTTTCCACCACTTAAAGAGGGTTCAACACAACGAGCTTTATTAATCAACAGGATTTCAGGACAAAAAAGGGAATTTCTCTCATGCAGAGCGCCAATAGTTGACAGCTTGTGGTTCCAAATAGGTAATAAGTGTAATAATTGTAATAGTTAACGAACCAATGAGTATAATGTGCGAGATGTGGGGTTCACACACACCACAAAATGCTTTCCTCTAATCATCTTCAAATCACGCGGTTATGGCACAGACAAATCATAGCATGTGAGGCGGTACTCGATAACAGAGAGATGGAGAAATTGTTATCTCCTCTGTCACTATCCAACGCAACCAAATGCCTAAATGGAACAACTCGTTCCGCCTCCTTTCTAGTATAGAGTTTAATACGTGTGAACACCTTGGAGACCAAACCATGTTTAAATGTGCAGGATAAGGATGATAACTTGCCTCGCATTTGTAGATGACAAACCAATCAGTTGAGGCAAACCATTTATGATTCTTAATGTCATTGACTCCGTTCTTCAGATTGCCATAACGTTTGGTCAGATCGACTTGGAGGAGATTACGAAGGAGATCCTTTAAATCCGAGCTGAAGTGTGATGGGAATCGAACCTAGAAAATAGAAATAGCATAAAATTAGATTTGACCTTTAATAAAATCGAGAGAAATCACAGCTGCTAAACAGGCCAAAACATCCGTTTTTGGATGTTAAAAGAGATAAATAAACCATTGTGTCATGACCAACTTTTAAATTTGTTTAAATTTTCAATAAAAATCGGGGAAAGAAGTTCAGCGACAAAAAAACGGATAATTTGATCTCTAGGGCATGATGCAAATGTATTGCATAGAAAGTATTTGGAAGCAATCAACTTGAAGATCAGATAATTTTCTGTTTTCTGTGCTATATGAAGCTAAGGAAAGGAAAGTTGGTTAGAAGGGGAAAATATTCCACAAACTAACAACTCTGCAAATTTTTTTTGGGATAAGAACCACACTCTCGCCTATTCCTTTTTTTAAAAAGTTTTCCAATATTCTGAAATAGGGCTAATTTCAATTGAATGAGATTTCAAATAAATGCCAAAAAAAAGAAATAAATATTCGCCCCGGAAAATTAAAGTATCCGAGGTCAATGTGACAGGGCTGTAACGATGGAGCGATAGTGGCATCAAATTTTTAAAATAAGAAAATGAACTTCTAGATAACATCGTTTACTCCCTCCTCTAAGCGTTGGAAATAGCATTTCATGCGGCATCATTTCATAACAAATGACAGTTGACAAGTAAATAGCCACTCATCTGACTTGTAAATATCACAACAGAGCAGGAGGCATCTTTTCCTGTGATTTCTCTGAATTAGTTATTCTATTTTGAATAAATTACCTACATAGAGGGTCAACATGGGGCGGGGGGGGGGGGGGGGGGGGGGGGGGGGGGAGAGAGGAGAGGGGAGTGAAATGCCCACTCACGGCCAAGAAAATGAATGTGTTTCGTCCCGCCGAAAGTGTGGGGGAAATTCCTCGCCAAAAAATAGCACGCAGATCACTTGATAACACTTGGATAAAAAGACACAAGAGACAGAGTGAAGGCCAGACAACAGCACAGTTGGAGTAACTGCTCCATCACAGCGATAAACAATGCTCGTAGGAAGTGTTTACCGACAGCCGATATTTTCTTGTGTGAAATGTGATTTTGGTGCAAAATAAGACTAAATAGGAAAAGTAGTGGTCACACATTCTATAGCTGGCTAAAAACGTATTTAGAATGAATGAAATTGATGTGGCTCTCTAAATCATAACGCAACCATTCTTCCAATGAATGCGCGCCCTATCTCAGCTTTTATGGATACTTAAGGTATCTTTCATTTCTTTTAAAAAAAAGAGGTAGAAATAAATGAGAAAAGAAATCTTTTGAAGAATGGAGTAATGCAGGATGGTAATATGGGCAAAGACACCCCCCAAAGGCTGAGATTATTTAAGGCATTGAAAAAAAATGAAAAGGTTTCACAGCATGAATTCAAGTTATGTGATCAACCAAAACGTGCACTACTTCAGTATTTAAACCGGAAATCCTTCTAGTATATTTTTAAGGAACTACCGTATTTAGAGGAGGTTTAGTATAACTTAACCCCACAAAGCTCAAATCACACAACTATAGTAACTTATTTTAAGTGCCTCATAAAAATTGAGTTTACCTGAGGTGAACAAAGCATACATAACTCTGTTCAATTAAAAAAAGCTTATTAAATCACCGCTTTTTCGAATTGTAAGTTACAAAATATAATATATATAATTTTAAATTAATAAAGAACATGCTAAATGCGATGGCGTGGCCGATCCTTCTTGTTTAAATAATTGCTGATCAAGAGGCGCCGACATTGCTAGACAAATATTTGCTCAAATTCAAGGGACGGATCGTGAAATTTGAATTTTAGCAAAGCCAATGGCCAAATTAGTAACTATTCTACAACCCGAGTCCAAGAATCAATTGAAATAAGACCATTTGGATTTAGTGCCATCCGATGTCAGTGACTTTCAACAGTTATAAATCGAAGATCTCTACTTCTACTATGACCAGCACTAATATAGTTTTAAAAAATTGGTGGTAATTAAATTAACAGAAAGGGGATGTGTGAAAGGGTTGCCTCCACGTGGTGCACATTGGGCAATGTATATTCATACGGCAAAAGTCTATAAATTGGCAGTTGACTTCTGACTTCAAACTACCATTATCCCACTGTATGTCATATTCAACTACTTCTACAGCACTCACCTCACCTTTTTTCTACCTTTATGTCTGTCTCTTTTACATCTTTGAAACACTTCTGTTCTCCCCCACCCCTCTCGAATTTTTTCACTTTGATGTTCCTTCCCTTCTGTGAAGCCTGAAGCCAACTAAAGGGCTAATGAAAACTATCAAAACGCCTGCCATTTGACATAAATAAATTAATTAATTAACTGAAAGAGTAGAGGAAAAGTTTGCCAAGGCCCTGAATATAGGGTTCATGCAATATGCTGATGATTCATCATCACTAATCCCTCCGTGATTCTTTCACAACCAATCATAGGCATTCTTTCTATCAATATCATCTATTTACCTGATTTCTGCACAAATAGAAAGATATGTTGACTGCATTTCTCATCCACAGACCATATCCATCGTTGATAATCAATCTTCAGGTCTTAATGCTCCATTAAAACTATGGAAGGATTGGATGAAACTAGAAATGTGCATGGCCTAGAAGGCGGATAATTTGAAGCAATTTTCCTATTAAAATCTACTTCAAACTTGAAAACTTAGAACCGTAAAAAGTAATAGAATTTGGATTTGTTATTAATTTATGAAGAGAATAATTATTTTTTAAATTAATACGACCATGAAAAGAACTCCATTGTGTGCATATGTTTTGGCCATAACATCTAAATCACATTAACTCACCTTTCCAGAAACGATCTTCTCGTATATTTGGATGGGCTGATCAGCATAGAATGGTGGATATCCCGCTGCCATTTCATAAACCAAAACACCAAGCGCCCACCAGTCTACAGCTTTGTTATATCCCTTAAAAAATATTAGAAATTTTACTAAAAATAATGCTGTTTCCACCTTGCCTTTGAAAAAGATTAAGAAATGTCGCTAAGTAAGCGTAATTCTCTGTATCTAAGCATTCATTCGCATAAACAATGCAATAAATAAATTAAAATCGTTATTGAAGAAACGCTTTGCGATTAAACGTTAATTACCTAACTTAGCATTTTGATAATTAATAAGAAATTGTGCTTTCAATTAAGACTTTTTATCACACATTTCACAAAAATCATAGCTCAAGCATTTTAGCACTGCAAATTTTTCTAGTCAGTCTAGAAACATTTGCTTATTTAAGCAGAGGAAAAGGGACAGAAACCACTAAACTACAGTAGACGTTAGTGCAAACATTCGCACATGTCCGTGAGGAGTTGATTGGTTAACAAGGGTAGACGTTCGCATGAACGCACCGACTTAGTTAGTGGGATAGACAGGCAGGAAACGAGATAGAACTTTGCGAAATTAGCTATACGCATGGCATCGACCACACCACTGGAGAAATCAATGATGAAAAGCAGCACAGATGGCCGCACTTGCAAGTGCGTCTGTACTACAGCCAAGTCTACACGCAGGGTAGTACCATCGCACGCAACCGCTAGGCTTTCTGGGATTATTCTTTCGCCGTATCCTCTTTTTGTGTCCTATGTCACTTTCACTTTAACAAAATTTTACTTTGCTTTTTTTATTTTTATTTTACTTTTGCTTTCTAACTAGGCTGGAGTTTTAGTAGTTTCCTTAAGATATACAGAAACGCTAGTATTACTAGAGAAAGAGAGGGACTAGGGAAAAAATTGAGTTGGGAATTAACCTTGCTAAGGATGATTTCTGGAGCGAGGTATTCGGGAGTTCCACAAAGTGTCCAGGTTCGACCCTTTACTCGTTTGGCAAAGCCGAAATCTGTGATCTAAAAGGAGGGAGAAGAGGAAGAGAGGCCATAAAGATAGCTTAGCTACAAGGGCTAGGAATAGTGCAACCAGACGGCAATATTCCAGTCAGGTTTTGAGGTCAAGTTCTTGCAGCAACTTGCACAAATCAGTGTAAGTGCAAAAATATATGCAAATGAAAATCAGGTTAATTTTAGTGAGAGCAAAAATAAAATGATTAGATATCACGTAATGAAAGAATCGAGACCAACCTTCAAATAGCCATGTTCGTCAATCAGGATATTTTCTGGTTTGAGATCGCGGTACACAAGTTCAAGATGATGAAGGTATTCAAAGGCTAGAACTACCTGGCTGGCGTAGAAACGAGCATGGCTTTCGCTAAAAGAAAACAGCAATAAGCTTAACTCATCCTAATTATTATCTCTTTATAAGAGCGCATTAGTGCAGCTAGCAAGAGATTACGTTAAAATCCCTTAAGTATCTCAAATGGTGGTATTGATTAGTTAAGTAATTTACGCCGTCATAATAATACTGATTTTTGTGTCAATAAAGGAATATTTGATCAAATTTTCATTTATAATACATATTTTCAATACGATCTGAACCACAAGCAAGGCACCAAATTATTGCAAATTGAAAGCTTTAAATCGAACCAAAATTTAGTTTATTTAGGTTAGTTGCACAGTGAAATGATGCTGCATTAAAAACGAGTAAATTATCTTTACATATTTTTAAGCAATAAAGCCTAATAAACATATTATTCAGTCTTGTTAATAATTATTCATGGTTAAGTGGTACTTTTTGAAACGTACTTCCTTTAAATATAATTAAATGAACTGCGTAGATATCAAAATGAGTAGAAGTCCGCATATTAATACGAAATAACGGAAATAAAGTTGAATAATTAGAGCAAGTAATTAAACAGAAAGCAAAACAAACCTGAATCGCCCAATTTTTCGCAGATGAGAAAACATTTCACCACCATTAATGAAATCCAATACCATGTAAAGATTGCTATTATCCTGTTAGAAAAGAATGTGAATAACATTGTTGTAATATGTCAAAATAAAATTTTGGTGAATAAATGAGTCTAACCTTAAATGAATAATTAAGCCTAACAAGGAAAGGAAAATTGATGGCCTGCAGAATGCGCTTTTCATTTAAGGTATGTTCAACCTGCTTGAGCTTCACCACCTTCTGCTTGTCCAAGATCTTCATGGCATAATATGTCTTTTTGGCTTTATGTTGCACAAGCATAACACGACCAAATGAACCTGTTCCAAGAGTCTTGATTCTGTCAAAGTCATCTAAACAAGCGGTATTCTAAGACGAAAAATCAATTGTAAGGTTAAATTACCTGTGAAGGTTTTTCCCATTTGTCAAGAAACTCTTTTTTAGCATCATCCAAAAAGGCCTTGACTAAAATAAAATAAATTAATGATTGTTTTTAAAAATATAATTGATTTGGTAGTAATTACCATCTGCGGGTTCGCCTTTTTTAATGGAACTAGCGTTACCCATCAGAAGGTTAGCTGGGGGAAAACTATTCGAAAAGTAAACGACCTTGAAAAACGCAAACTATGGTTGATTTAAACAATTCTTATAAAATGTTAATTTTATAGTGATTTTAAAAAATAAATCGACAAATAATTTGAATAAAATAAGCATGAAATATTTACTTAATATAAATACTTTTGATTAAAAGCAACTTTACATTTATCTGAAAAGTAAAAGAGATTTCAGTCCGTAAGACATGCAGAAACAGTTAGATAATATTTAGTTTGCCATTCAAAGACAGAAATTTTACTGCCCGAAATATTATTATAGCTGGAAAGAAATATAAATATATGATAGAGTGCTTTATCCTCAGTTTATTATTATAGGATTTACACAAATTGCTTAATCTGAATTTTTTGTCTTTCAGCTTTGTAATAAACTTGCTGTAATATCAATGAACAATTTATTGTCGAATATCATTAACCAAATCCCCACGAGTCAAATGGGAATTTTAATGTGATTTTTTAAAATTGTAGGATGTTTTGGCAAATTAAATGGAAAATTTCAAAGATTTATTTCATTTACAAAAATGTGCATCGAGCTGTTCAGAATTGTTAATAGTTATAATATCGTGATTTTTATCTTCCTGGCATTTCAATTTTGTTAAAATTTGTAACCTATTATCGGGTAAATTTTGTAGATATTATTTAAAATTAATAAGTAACAACTAGTTTCCCTTTTAGCCAATTCATTTGAAAATCTACAGAATTCTAATATACTGATGGAAACAGTGAAAGACAAAAATGTTTGTTTTCCAAAACCAATCAATGCTCTTCTATAAAAGGGAACATTCTAAGTACTCGGATAAAAATAAATTTTGCTGGGGGAATAAGAAACATTCAGTTATTTAAGCATGGTGAATTAAAACTGCTTGTTCAATGTGTTGAATGGACTTAACGTTATCGTTGTACCAAAGATGGAAGCCAATATGAATGTGTGCTTTTCGTAAGTAAAGCTTAAGGTAATGAACACTTGACTTAGAATTTGAGTAATGTTGACAATTTCCGCTTAGTTAGTTAGAATTTTGAACAAATATTTGTAAAAATACTTACAATCTGCATAATCTTTATTCATCTCTGGAGATTGTTCTTCCCCGCCGGAGCGAATTAAAGGAAGATGAAAACGTTTCTTCACAATACCCGTTGCTGAATCCTCTTCTAATGTGAAATATATTTATCTCTCATAATCCTATTAAACTAAGATTATACGAAGTTCCTTCGATGATTGTAATTTGGTAAAGCTCGTTTGTTACTATGAAAGGTTATTATGGCTGTAAGGTGATATTTCTTGCGTTAAAGACGCAATTAAGCAAAACAGTTAAATGGGTTTAGATTGGTAATAAATTTGTAAACTTAATTGATTTATTTGTAATATTGACGGACTTTGCAAGAACATGATTTCGAATTTTATGAAGTCTGTTGGTACCATAAATAATATTGCCTCATGTTATGAATATGGTAACATTTTAATATAATTGTAGTCTATTTGTAAGTCTCCATGTAAAGTACTAACTTTTCAGAGAAATTTAGCTCGATTTATAAAACATTCCCCTAATCGACTCATCCGAGAGGCCAATATTCAAAGAACTAATTGTTCGCATCCCATTTTTTGCAAACAACGGGAAAAAGAGAAAAAATTTTAAATGGAAAAAATTAATTTTGATACGAAAACACATTATCTGTAACGTTTTCTGCTCTGTAGTGTTTGAAAAAAAGTTATTTATTCTTAGATGTGAGTTTCGAAATTATAATTGATGAATACGCAAGCGATGTTTATTTATAAAATTCGTTCCTTATTCAATTGTATATAATGGTAAAAAGCACGGGTGAAATATCAAACGAAAGTAATAAAGGTAGAATACGGTTTTCTATTGTTAATTTTGTAAAAATACGCGAATCTTGAAAAAATCAAACTAAGTGAGGGTAAATGCCTCATTTGAATGGTAAATAGCGCATTTGTGAAAGCATTTTCCAATTTCCTTCATGAATAGAGTGCGGGTTCATGGAGTCACAGCGATAACAGATTTGAAGTATGTAAAATTTCATATTGGTCTGACGTAAATAATGTGGTCGTCCATTCCACTCATTGGATATGCGTCTATGGAGTCGAATTCATTATCTATAGTTTGGCAAGTGAACGCCACAACCAATTTGATGCCGATTTCTTTTTTTTTCAGTTCAATCGAAATCTGTGAGCCAAAACCATTCAACGAACAAGATCTCTGTGCCGTTAGTATGCACGAATAAAAACGTAATGAAATGAAGATTTGTATATTTTCCGAAAAATATTAGCTTTCCCCAATTCAAACGAATGAACACTCATGATACCTTAAATTAACCTTAGTAGCATAAATACTAAAACAGCGGCGGATACGATAAAGCAGGGGATTCAATTAATACTTAAAATAATTTTGGTGAAGTATTTTGCAGTATCATTATAACAGAGTTTAATACCATTATTTTTAAACAACGGATTGAAGAACCAATAAGAAATGACAGGTCAATGATTCGTTCAAGCGCACCAATGGTAATAAAATTGAAGAAAAAAAGATTCATAAGGTGTAAAAATATACAAACACACCAATGGAAGGAGAAATATTGATTTTTAGAAAAAAAATAATTATAAGAGCTCTAATAAGCTTTTACCGGAAGTTGAAAGCTAATAATCAGATCAATCTAAACACAAAGTGAACGGCAGCCGTAAAATTAACCCTACAGCCTAATTTTCAGAAAGCTTAAACAAACGACTAAAGGAAAGTTATTTTGTTTAGTAGGAAGTAAATAAATATAATTTGGAAAAAACAAAACAAGTGTTTTTACATCGGTATCTAATTGAGATAGACACCTTGAAAATCTATACGAAGACTTTCATGATTACGAAAACAAAAAATTACACACTAGGATTTCTAAGGTATTGCGCAATACTGGATTTGCCAGCAAGAAAAGGAAAAAAAACAGAATATATCTCTTTTTTAAAATTTATTATTGGAATATTTGTGAGATAAGTTGTGAGATGATTCACATTGGGCAATCTCTATTAAGCACTATTATGTTAAAAATGCTGTTAGAAGATTAAATGTTACTTGAAGCGGCATGGTTGATCGTTCAATAAAATCAACCCATCCACCATGGAAAATGTCGCGGATACAAACTCCTCCAGAAATCTAAGGACCAAATCGATAAAATTGACCTCCATATTGCCAGGGCATTACAAAATGTATTTTGTCCTTTATGATAAAATGAAGTACTCTGATTTGTCAAAATCGATACCAGTTTACCTAGATTTACGATCAATGGATTATGATTATCTAACTGTAATCAAACCAAAAATCCAATTTAATATTAAATCAAAGGCTGAAAGTTTTATAAACACTCAATATCCATTTTAAAATTACATTTCAATAAATAATCCAAAATACAAAAACACACGAGTCATTGAAACGTGTGACAGTCTATCAAAGCCAACTGAGCCACAGAAAAACCATAAATTTGAGAAAAATAGTATGACTTTTTCAATGATATATCAACATTTCAGCTAAATGTCAATCATGTTATAAGTGGTAATATTAACATGAGAAAGACGAACACTTTTACGCATAATACAGAAAATCAAATAACGATACATTTCCAATAGCACATTTGAAATCAACCAAAGTCTAATCGAATCAGCACATAAAATGGAGAACCGACTTAAGCATTTATAAATCCCTTTCGTCAAAATTTCCACCAATAGGTGATAAATCATATTTCGTTTTAATTGCATGAGATTCTAACGGTTAAATTCTTTTTCCTGCACACAGGAATTATCTAGAGTTTGAATTTCAAGTGAACTCAGCGCTAAATCTGTTGAAACAAACTCATATTCTTTGCAATTTGTGCACAATCATATGCGATTTCATCGAATTTTCTGTCAAAAAACCTTAAATAGGCCTATTCCAACTAAATTTCTATAGTTAATTCTTCAAAACTCGTTTGAACGCGAAATTTACATTTGGCTCTCAACTCCTAACAATAGCAAACACGTAATTGAGAATTCGATCCATATCAATAATTTGATTCTTGTCTATATTTATTTGAAAAAAAGTGTAATTAACCATATTAAACTATTTTTAAATGATTTTTCCATAAATAAAAGGTCCCTTACCAAAGTTCCATCCACAAAGTCATTCATGATGATGTAGACATTAAAATGGTTCATTAAGTGCATTTAAATGCCTATTGATTTATGGAGTTACTGAAGCCCACAAAGTGCTTCCTCGAGAAATGAATTCCAAAAATTCACCTGCTTTTTAAATCTAAGGGATGACCTAAATTTCACCTTAAGTTTAGAATGAAGTAGATTTGTAACTTTAATTTAGGATCTAAGTTGATGCTTAGAACCTGTGCATTTACATTTTGTGGAAGTTTGAATACCTTTTTTTAAGCTAGAGTAGGTTATACAAAAATACGAAGAAACAAAATGAATGATAGAAAGGAAAAGTAGTGGAATACACTTATTTAAACAAAATTACCATGTGATGCACAAGAAGAGCCATAAAAAATATCCGCCTAATTAATGAGACTACTTCGACTTAATCAATACCCTTCTCTCCTCCCCCCTCCCCCCCCCCCCCCCCCTCCACTTTGCTCCCTCTAGTAGCACATAAACAAGTAGCCAATGAGATATGTTTTCTTTGAGCATCGTTCAAATACCTTGGTGATAAAATCTTTAACTTCTCGAGGGAACTTTCCGGGTATCTTTAAGAATTCTCCCGTAGCGCTAATTTAGTATTCTCCGTCTATATTATTATATGCATACGAGAGAAGGGAGTGGGAGTAGACGAGGGATCTCTCGATAAAAAGAAATGTTTGACCGCTTGAAACTGACAATTTTTACCAGCACACCTAGCGTATGAATAAAATAAGCGCTCTGGAACTCACACAAATCGACAATTTCGCTCATTGAGACACGTTTTTTAAGGATCC